TTTATTTATTTATTTATTTATTTATTTGAGATGGAGTCTCGCTCTGTCGCCCAGGCTGGAATGCAGTGGCACAATCTCGGCTCACTGCAACCTCCACCTCCCGAGTTCTAGTGATTCTTCTGCCTGAGCCTCCTGAGTAGCTGGGATTATAGGCATGTGCCACCACACCTGGTTAATTTTTATTTATTTATTTATTTTTTTGAGATGGAGTCTCACTCTTGTTGCCCAGACTAGAGTGCAATGGCACAACCTAGGCTCACTGCAACCTCCACCTCCCGGGTTCAAGCGATTCTCCTGCCTCAGCTTCCCAAGTAGCTGGGACTACAGGCATGTGCCACCACGCCCGGCTTATTTTGTATTTTTAGTTGAGATGGGGTTTCTCCATGTTTGTCAGGCTGGAATCGAACTCCCCACCTCAGGTGATCCACCCGCCTCAGCCTCCCAAAGTGCTGGGATTACAGGCACGAGCCACCGTGCCCAGCATTTCTATATTTTTAATAGAGATGGGGTTTCACCATGTTGGCCAGGCTGGTCTCAAACTCCTGACCTCAAATGATCAGCACCCCTCGGCCTCCCAAAGTGCTGGGATTACAGGCATGAGCCACGATGCCTGGCCACATTGAATTTTTTTTTTTTTTTTGATTCGGAATCTTGCTCTGTCGCCCAGGCTGGAGTGCAGTGACACGATCTCAGCTCACTGCGACCACTGCCTCCCAGGTTCAAGCAATTCTTCTGCCTCAGCCTCCCCAGTAGCTGGGACTACAGGCACCCACCACCACGCCCAGCTAATTTTTTGTATTTTTAGTAGCGATGGGTTTCACCATGTTAGCCAGGATGGTCTCGACCTCCTGACTTCATGATCCACCTGCCTCGGTCTCCCAAAGTGTTGGGATTACAGGTGTGAGTCACCACACCCAACCTGTTGAGGATTTTTGTGTCTTTGTTCAACAGAGATATTGGCCTGTAGTTTTCTTTTTTGTTGTGTCTTTGCCTGGTTTTGGTATCAGGGTAATGCTGGCTTTGTACAGTGATTTAAGAAGAGTTTCCTCTTCTTGGATTCTTTGGAGTAGTTTGAGCAGAATTGTTGTTCTTTATATATTTGGTAGAATTCAGCAGTAAAGCCATCTTGTCCTAGACTTTTCTTTGTTGGGAGACTTTGTGTTGCTTATTCAGTCCAGTTACTTCTTACTGTTCTGTTTCTTCCCGGTTTAATCTTGGTAGGTTGTATGTGTCCAGGGGTTTATCCATTTCCTCCAGGTTTTCCTATGTGTTAGTGTACATTTGTTTATAGTAGTCTCTGATGATCCTTTGTATTTCTCTGTTGTCTGTTGTATGTCTCCTTTATCTTTTTTTTTTTTTTTTGGAGATGGAGTCTTGCTCTGTCGCCTAGACTGGAGTGCAGTGGCCTGATCTCGTCGCACTGCAAACTCCACCTCCCAGGTTCAAGCAATTCTCTGCCTCATTCCTCCCAAGTAACTGGGGTTACAGGTGCCTGTCACCATGCCTGGCTAATGTTTGCATTTTTAGTAGAGATGAGGGGTTCACCATCTTGACCAGGCTGGTCTTGAACTCCTGACCTTGTGATCCACCCGCCTCTGCCTTCCAAAGTTCTGGGATTATAGGTGTGCACCACGGCGCCCGGCCCCATGTCTCCTTTTTCACTTCTGGTTTTGTTTATTTGGATCTTCTTTTCTATTTTCTCAGTCTAGCTAGAGATTTTTTTTCACTGCATATGCATTTACTTTCTTACATTATCTCAGACTTTCCTGGCTGCACAGACTAGGTTAAACCCTTTATTTTCTCCTTGGTAACACCCATCACAGTTATTTCTTTTCTTTTTTTTTTTTTTTGAGACAGAGTCTCACTCTGTCGCCCAGGCTGGAGTGCAGTGGGACAATCTCTGCTCACTGCATCGTCTGCCTCCTGGGTTCAAGTGATTCTCCTGCCTCAGCCTCCCAAGTAGCTGGGATTACAGGCGCCTGTCACCATGCCCAGGTAATTTTTGTATTTTTAGAGATGGGGTTTCGTCATGTTGGTCAAGCTGGTCTCGAACTCCTGACCTCAGGATTTGCCAGCCTCCACCTCCCAAAGTGCTGGGATTACAAGCGTGAGACACCACACCCGGCCCCATCACATTTACTTCTTGTTTAACATAAAATCTACCCTACTAGATGTCAGCTCCAAGAAGCAGAGTCCAGATTTCCCCAGGATCTAACACAATGCCTGCTATGTAACAAGTGCTCAGTAATATTGGTGTAATTGAATTTGTTTGATTCAGTTATTTAAATTTTGTTTCCCCACCTCCACTCAGGTAATCTTTCTTACATAAAGTTTGCAACACTAAATCTTCAATCTTAGGATATAAGGACAAATCATAATTTTATAAATAAAAGGGATTATGGGGGCTTTGAGAGTTGTGAGTTTACATTTAAAATATGGATGTAATCTTCATCAAAGACCTCATGTTACTTTTTTTGAAAACCCTTTTATTTTGAAAAGTCATAAAGTATTATAAAGAATTACAGCATGCTCTTCTTCATCTAGATTTTCCAGTGTTAACATTAACATTCTACTACATTTGCTTTATGTGTCCTCTCTATGTATATATATGTAGAGGAAAAGATGCATCTTTTATCTCAATACTTTAATATATATTTCCCCAAAACACGGATGATCTCTTAACGTAACCAACACAGACATCAAAATTAGGGAATTAACATTGATTCCATACTGTTAACTGTCTGTAGAACTTACTAATTTTACCACACTCCTATGTGGAAAGAGGAAAAAAGAAAAGGACCCAAGATCTAATCTGAGATCACATGTCACATTTGATTGTCATGTCTCTGTAGTTCTTGTTCTGTGTCTTTCATGACCTTGACATTCACGTAGTACAGGTTTATTTTGTAGATGGTCTCTCTGGGTTTGTGGGATGCATTGTCATGATTAGATTCACGTTATGCATTTTAGGTAGGATTATCGCAGAAAGGATACTGTGTTTATTTCTATACATCATTTCAGAAGTCACATGATATATCTCTGTCCTGTTATTACTGGTGATATGTAACTTTGGTCACTTTCTTGGTTAAGGTGGCGTCTACCAGTTTCCTCTATTGTAAAGTTGCTTCCCTTCCTCCCCACTAATTGTTATTAATTAATAAATGTCTTCTTTTTGTATTTTAATTTACTTAAATTTCTGGGTGTCTTTTTCTTTTAATATTTAATTTTGAGGTCCTGACCAAAGAGCAGATTTGTACTTGGAAGGAAAAGACCAGCTCGGGGGTTGGTTTCAGTCATCCTTATTAACAAGTGTGGCCACAAGGAAGAAAGCACCTTATAAGTAAGTATTTATACCTGAGCCAACCTGCTGAGTACCTGCCAGTGTGTGAAGCACTATGCTGAGTACTATAGAGATGATAAGGCACCACCCTTGATTGCTTACAGTGTCCTGTAAGAATTTGAAGTAAAAAAAAGAGAAAGGACACAGGAGACAACACCAACGTGTCTTGTGAGTGTGATGCAGATCATAACTCCTTGAAGAAAAAGTCAGCGTTGACTGGAGTAGTTGCGGGAACTTATGTAGTTCTTTTTTGTTTGTTTGTTTGTTTGTTTGTTTTTGAGAAAGGACCTCATTCAGTCACCCAGGCTGGAGTGCAATGGTGTGGTCAAAGCTCGCTGCAGCCTCCATCTCCTAGGCTCAAGCAATCCTCCTGCCTCAGCCTCCTGAGTAGCTGGGACTACAGACATGCACCACCACACCTGGCTAATTTTTAACTTTTTTTTTAGAGATGCATTCTCCTCGCATTGCCCATGCTGGTCCCAAACTCCTGGCCTGAAGCAGTCCTCCTGCCTTGGCCTCCCAAAGTGGTAGGATTATAGGCATGAGCCACCATGCCTGGCCTAGAACTAGATCTTGATCTATGGTAAAACTTGACCAGGAGGAATGTAGGGAAGGATATTTGAGGTTGAGAGAAGACAGCCTGAGTACAGATGTCCTTTATATTTGTAATATCCACAGTGGCTAGTGAGCTGAAACATTGCTTTCGTGAATTTTATTAAATTAGATATTCTCATTTAATACATAGAATTACTTTTTCAAACGTGTGGGTGAAAGTACTAATCAGAAAGATTCCTAAATAGCTTAGCTTAAGACTGTGGCTCTCTTAGGATAAAAATCCATCCCAGAACGTTTTGCATGTTGCTTTTTTTTTGAGACGCAGTCTTGCTCTGTCGCCTAGGCTGGAGTGCAGTGGCGCGATCTTGGCTCACTGCAACCTTTGCCTCCCGGGTTCAAGCGATTCTCCTGCCTCAGCCTCTCGAGTAGCTGGAATTACAGGCACATGCCACTATGCCTGGCTAATTTTTGTATTTTTAGTAGAGACAGGGTTTCACCATATTGGCCAGACTGGTCTCGAACTCCTGATCTCAAGTGATCCATGCTCCTGAGCCTCCCAAAGTGCTGAGATTACAGGTGTGAGCCACCATGCCTGGCCCTTTTACATGTTTTTATTTCTTAACATGTGTTTTAAAGACCATTAGAAGGGCGGATCCTATTTTTTTCAAATTGTCTTTTGAAAATAATTTTGAGACGATAATCTGCTCTTTTAAGACATACTTTTTCCTGTTTTTTTTTTTTTTTTTTTTGAGACCGAATCTCACTCTTTCACCCAACCTGGAGTACAGTGGCACGATCTCAGCTCACTGCAACCTCTGCCTCCCGGATTCACGCCATTCTCCTGCCTCAGCCTCCTGAGTAGCTGGGACTACAGGCGCCCAACACCGCACCTGGCTAATTGTTTTGTATTTTTAGTAGAGATGGGGTTTTATCATCTTAGTGAGGATGGTCTTGATCTCCTGACCTCATGATCCACCTGTCTCGGCTTCCCAAAGTGCTGGGATTACAGGCGTGAACCACTGCGACCAGCCCTTTTTCTTGGTTTTATTTTTTCATTAAATTTTTTTTTTTTTATTTTTAGTGAATTATATAGTTTTTCCGCTATCACCACAAAAGGTTTTATAACATTTCCAACACACTAAAAAGTTTTCGCATGCCCATTTGTGGCTAATCTCCACTCCCACCCTAGGGCCCCTGGCAACCACTGATCTTGCTGTCTCTGTAGTTTGCTATTTCTAAACTGGTTAGCTTTAATGATAAAATCAGTACACAGCAGAAGCTCAGAAAATAATCTGTTTAGTGATGAAAATATCTAAAGTTTTCCTTTGTGTAAGTCGAGAGTTCACTAACCATTGTGATACATGAGCTAAGAATGATTTTTTTTTTTTGAGATGGAGTCTTACTCTGTCTCCCAGGCTGGAGTGCAGTGGGACGATCTCAGCTCACTGCAGTCTCCACCTCCTGGGTTCAAGTGATTCTCATGCCTCAGCCTCCCGAGTATCTGGGACTACAGGCACACGCCACCATACCTGGCTAATTTTTGTATTTGTAGT